CGCAAGGGGCCACATCTTGACAGGGTCCCTCCAGCTCCGAGACAGCCAGATGAGGGTCCACACAGAGCATGGCTGGAGGATGGCAGGTCTGCAGGTGAATGGCCACAAGTGGGATTCTGCCAAGTGCACTGGGGGCATGGAACTGGCACTGGCCAGGTGTTCATCCTGGAATCAGCGCTGGGTCAGGGAGAGACCCAGAGCTCAGAGCGAACATGTTTAAAGGGGCCCAGAGGTGAAAAGTCCAGAAAACAGCAACAGGAAACCCTTTCAACTTTTTCATGCCCTCCTGAAACACCATGCTAACCGCCTCCATCACACCTGCCCCTCAGGTAAAACACTGTTATGCTTGGAAACACAGATGGCCTGTAAGCCATATCTAGAACCACATGACAGGAACCACACAGCTGATCCTATGGCCTTGAGCATCTCACTCAACCTCTCAGGGCCTGTTTTTTCATTGGGAAGGTGGGGCTGTGATCACCTCTGCCTCACAGCCCTGTTGGGAGGACTCCCTGGGGTAACTTTATGTGCTACTTGACACAGAACCTGACATACAGTAGGAGCTCAAGAAATTAAATTAATTATAATTAATAGCAAAGATGAGAACCACACATCCAACAGCCACATGGCCACATATCCTGTGATTTTGCTGAATCGCTTTCTCAGAAATCAAGGACACGGTAAAATTCCCATAGGGCTTCCAGGGTGGCTTGGCAGTAAACAATCTGCCTTCCATGCAGGAGCCATGGGTTCAATCCCTGGGTCAGTAAGATGCCCTGGAGAAGGAAATGGCCACACACTCCAGTATTCTTGCCTGGAGAATTTCATGGAAAGAGAAGCCTGGCAGGGTACATACAGTCCAGGGGGTTGCAAAAGAGTCAAACATGTTAGTGACTAAACAAAATTATCCTAACTAAAAAATGGAAGCTAAAATGGATATTATAATATTTACATTATATGGAAATCCATTACAACTTTGTAATGGAAATTCACACATATTTTTTTAAAAAGCCTGCTGGGCAACTAACGCAAGGTAATGGGTTCAGCTATTTGCAGAGTCTATCCTTTAGGTGCTTCTGCTATTTCTATCTTTCCCAACCACTTTCAATGATGATTATGCATTCTTTCATAGCCAGGAAAAATTATCAATATATGGTACAGATTGAACAGCACTGACAAGAAAGGAACGAACTCAGAATTCTGTTGAACCTGATTCTGGAAGCTACAGCTCTCTGTCCCCGAGCCTACAGCTAGGCCTTCTCAGCAAAGTGATCTTCCCAGAGAAGCACTGGCTGCCTTTGGTTCAAACTCAGCTGTTGGGTCTGCTCGGCCACCATGGGGACCAAGAGACAGCGCTTCATGTTCCTGCCTTTCTGGGGACTCTGAGCTTCCAGACCCAGAGCCCAGTCTATTTATTCACCCAAGAACATGCTGGGGGCCTGGGGGGCCAAGCCCCACAAGTGTGAAGAGGGAAGCCACAGGAGCTCAGAGTTGGTCCAGAGATGGACCAGGAAACAGCATGCGGAGCAGTACAGCTGAGGTGCACGTGTGTGGTGGAGACAAGAGGAGGGCCTGGCCCAGCCTGCGGGAGGCAGGGGAGGGGGCGCATCAGTGCTGGGCTCCTGGTCGTCGAGAGGCAAATTCGGGGACAGGAAGGCATGAATACACAAGGCTTGAGATGGGAGCAGAAAGCCACTCAGTGTGGCTGTTTATGGAGTATGAGGTCCTGGTGTCTGGGGCAGAGGTGGGGGAGGTAGTTGGGGGGGGCGGGCTGAGGGCGGGAGAGGTAGTGGGGGCGGGGGGTCCCACACATCATGGCTAAGGGGTTCGGACTGTATCCTCAAGGCAGTAGGAAGTCACTGAGAGACTTCGAGGGTGGTCTTGGATTAACAGAGGCCAGGCAGGCTTCAGTACATCCTGGCTTCAGTACAGGGTAGCGGGGGCAACCGACACCCTCTGCTGGAACCAGTCAGTGAGGCCGTAAGGTGCAGGCTTGTGCACTAGGGTCTCCAGCAGCTGTCTGCAGCCAGCAGGTACTGAAAACACGTTCAGAGGGGAAAGGATGGGATGTGGGGGTGGGGGGAGCAATGCCCAGGTAAGCAATGCACAGCCTGCTCTCCTCCCTGGGTCTGGGGAGGGCAAGCAGTGCTCCTGGAACCAGACCCCTCCAGCCTCAGAGGAGAAGCATGGACAGGTCTAAGGTGGTGGGCAGGACCCTAGGACCGACTGCCACACGCTGACAGTGATGGGGCGGCCCAGGCCCCCTACCGAGGGCAGCTGGTACAGCAGAGGTAAGAGCTGCAAGGGCTCCCAGGAGCAGAGCAAGGGCATCTGCTGAGAGACAGTGCCACCTAGTGGCAGGAGGCGCCCACACCAGGCTTCTCTGGGACCGCCCTGCCCACCACCCCAAATGCTCCTAGGCCTTTCTGGGCTTTTCATGCTGGCGTCCTGAGCAATGAAGGCAACGATCTTGAGCTTTTGCCACCTGGGCTGTGCCTGAGCCTCTGAGAGCAACAGGCTCTATGGCATCAGCTGCGGGCGGCTCTGCCGATGAAGAAAGTGGAGAGGCTAGAATGTTATTCGAGCCCCACGTGGCCCAACAGCATGGTCAGAAATGTAGGGTCCTGCTCTCAGGCTTGAACCTCCACAGTGCAAGAGATAAAGGAAATACAGTGTGCTCCGGAAGCTCTTCCAGGCACTGCTGACCCCTCCCCCCTTCCAACTCACACCATGGGGAAATTCTCCTTCAGGCGTTTCTGAAGCCTGTTTTCTCAGTGGTTCGGGTCAGAGGTGACCGTGGGAGGAGAGGCAGACTGAAGGACACCCCAGCAGCAGAGAACCGTCTCCCCAGATATTCCCCCCCCCCCCTTCTCGGCTCCAGGTTTAGTCCCAGGAGTCTGTTCCCAAGAGAGAGAAGTACCCAAGGCCAGCCTGGCTGTCTGTGGATGCCCCAAACCCGGGAGGGTCCAGATTCCAGCACCACAAATTCACAGCCACACGCCCACAGCTCACTCCTGACTGCTCAGCAGTTTCAGGCCAGGTGAGGTCACTATGACTGCCTTAAATAACTCAACAGAGTTTGTTTTCAATTGTTGGTTTAGCCAAGCAAGATAAAAAGTACTTTTTAAAACTTCCCTTTTAAACAACAAGGTCCTACTCTTAAGCACAGAGCGCTATATTCAGTATCCTATGATAAACCATAATGGAAAAGTATATTAAAAAAAGAATGCATATATGTGCATAACTGAATCACTTTGCTATATAGGAGGAAATAATTCAACATTGTAAATCAACTATACTTCAATTTTTAAAAGAAAAAGAAAGATAGAAAAGAAAGAAAACTAGAAAACCAAAAATAAAAGTTCAGAGACTAAAAAAAAAAAATTCCCCTTATTGTCCAAAAAAAAAAAATGTATGTGCAATGTTAAAAAATTAGTTTTAGCAAAAAACTGTGTGACTTAGAAACTCAAGGTGCCTTATATGGTCCCACCCTCTATCAAAATTTTCTATAAACAACCTGCTAAATATTCTTTCCACTTTTTCTGTTCTATGCATGAGTATGTGGATATGGGCGGGGGCAGGGGAGTACATGTGGTAGCATTTTCTACACTGACATACAGTTTTATAGCTTCTTTTGATTTTTCCCATTAAGAGCATTCTTCTAGAGGTAGTCTTAGAACCAGAACTCAAAATCAGGTTAGCCCAGTGACCCAAGACGAGGCTGGCAGAAAATGTGATGCCTCAGGAACTCAGAAAGCAGGAGGGTTTCAGGAGCAGAGGAGAGGGACCCACACTAAAACCCAGATCAGTCCTGGAAAAGAAAAGGCCTCTCCCACAAGAGATATCCCAGGACAGGGGCAGGGACACACCCCTCATCTCCTCCTCTCCCAGCGGTGGCTGACAGCGCAGCTGGTGTGGAACCCCGTGCCAGGGCAGCGCCCTGCCTGTGACATCCAGGAGAACAAGGGCAGCCTCAAGAAAAGCTGGCCTGTGTGCCAGAGTGGCTCTCCTCCCTGGCCTTGGGGGTCAGCAAACACACCCACCAGGGCCCAGTTCCTGGGAGCCTGCTCACACCAGACAGGCTCCTGGCTGCACAATTTAATAGCCAATAATTCCAAGCCAGTGTAATGAGAACAAAAGGAAAGGACTGAATGAAGATGATGGGCAGGGTTCTGGGCTCCAGAGAAGACAAAAAGAGTGGAACCCAGCCCTGCAGTCCAGCGGCAGGTTTGCATTCTGGCCCCCCCCCCGCCCAGTAACTGGCAGCATGAACTGGCTGCAGTGGCTTACTGCTTCTGAACCCCAGTTTCCTTGCCTGCTAAGTAGAAGTAACACAGCTGGTAGCTCTCTAGGTTAAATGTAATGATGTGTATCAAGCACTCAGCCTGAGCCTGCTACACAATAATAACTCAGTGTTACCCACTACTATCCTTACTGGCTGAGGGCGCTCAAGAGAGAAGTAACGACCTCGGGCACACAGAGACCTGCAGGGCCGCTGCGGCCACCCCCCGGGGCTCAGCCAGGAACACAGCAGCCACTGTAAAGTCTGTGACCAGGCCAGGCCCCTGCACACAAGGGTGGTTTTCTTGTCCTGAACAGGGTGGACAGGGGTCAGGCAAGGGCTAAAGACATGTAACAAGAGCCTCTGCAGTTACAGGGCCCCCAGACACCGCCACTGCTTCCTCCACCAGGCCCAAAAGGGATTTCCCCCCCATTACCTGATTGGGTCCTTGGCTCCCGTCTGGGGAAGAAAGGACCAGCCTGGAGGCCGTGGAGGCACCCCAGACTCCACGCTTAGAGGCTGCCGCCACCCAGGGTTAGCTGTGTGGGTGGGGGGAGCTGCAGCCCCTCCCTGTCTGCCTCAAATCGCTCCCTCTCTCTCAGGGATGGCCCGTCTGCAAGGGCTGGAGCTATGCATTCTAAAGGAACCACCGCTTGCTGCCCCTGGGAAGGGTGCGGCTGGCACGCAGGCCCTCACTCACCCTGGTCGATGGACTCACCCTGGTCGATGGAGTGCTGGGGCAGCTGGCTGAGCTGGCTGTTGACCACCCCCGCGTAGGTGCGAAGGAACTCCTCCTCGCTGGCCGTCAGCTGCAAGGACGAGAGAGCTGGGTGAGGGGTGGCTCGCACCCGCCCCGGAGGCACCTGCTCAGAGCGGCTTCATCCCCAAGGGGTGCCTCCTTCTCCGCTCCCCAGGCCTCCATTCTTGAGATGTGACCTTTCCATCCCAGGGTGAGATTCTGACCCCTCTGCTCCCACCCCTGAAGCTTGGCCCATGGGGGCCACAGGGCTTGCCACTGTGGATTAGATCTGGCACAGGGACTGCAGCGCAGGGCAGGCCAGGCTCGGAGAGCCCCCCTGGAAAGGAAGGCTCTTGGGAGAGAGGAAGGAGGGAAGGTCAGGGCCTTTAGAAATCCTCACCCGCCTGGCCCAAGCTTAGCACAGGGGGTGGGAAGACTGCCCTGCAGGGCCGGCAGGACTGGACTTGCTGGAGTCTGTGTCCGGGAGCCTGAATCGGCCACAGCCTAACCAGAGCCCCCGCAAGCCCCTCCCCAGACCATGGCTGCAGAGGGCGGCTGTGGCCCTCTGGCTGCCTTCGTCAGGCACCCTCCCCGGGGGCCCTGCTGCCTGACACCCCGCAGGCACTCACGTTGGAGCCCATCTTCCTCAGCATGAGCAGCACTCGGACCTTCTGCTGAATGTACATCTCCTCCGGACTCTTCCCGGAGGCCCCCTCGCGGTTCATCCCCTGGCCAGCTCTGGGGACTGCTGCGGAGTGAGGAGAAGCATGGGGCGGGGGACAGTGTCAGGACAACACACACCCGCACATGGGCAGGAGGTGTCAGGCAGCCCACGATGCCTTAGGGGCTCGTTTCTGAGAGCCCGGCGTGGAGGCGAGTTGCCGGTCCCTCCCTCACCCCTGCTGGCCCAACAACCAGCCCGAGCAGCTACCCACCCCCACTCCTCGCAGCAGGCGCTGGTGGCCAGTCCCTTCTGTGCGTGGAGCTGCTGGGCCCCCGGGGGCTGAGCTGACCCAGACTCCTGGCCAGCGTCACCTTCCAGTCACCCCCTCAGCTAGGCTCCTGCTACGACGAGCCTAGGGGATGTGCTGCACAAAACCCCAAGTATCCCCGGCTCTCAAAGCAGGCAGCTTCCATGAAGAGCAACGTGACGCGATCGAGGCAGCTGACTGGGGCCTGTAGCTGGAGAAGCCGTGGGATCAGTACCCAGCCCCCAGACACCAAGACAGCTCCCTCTGCACAAGTCCCTGACGTTCGAGAGGCCGGCTCCCGGGCCGGGCTCCAAGGAATCCCTCGATGGGGACGGCGAGCCCGGGGCTGCGGGCACAGACACCCGCCTGGGCTCGCGGTTGCCACCCTCACCAGCCCACCCACCTGTCACAGGGTGGCTCCTGTGAGCGGCAGTGTGTCCAGGTGCGGTGGGGACCCGACCTGCAGCGGCGAGGTCCCGGGAGAGACGTCCCGGGGTTTCCTCCCTCCAGGAGGAGCCAGTGGGGAGGAAGCCGGGCGTGGAGGGGTTTGGGTTACACACTTGTAACTCCTGGATGAGTCAGAAATAACGCAGCAGCTGGTGGGGGTGGAGCCTCCGCGGCCCTGGTGCCAAGGAGCTGCGCTCGCAGGACCGGGTTGGGGCCAAGGACACTCCTCACACGGTCCATCCCTCAGGGGCCAGCAAACCCAGGAAAGGCCGGCTCTCCCGGATGAAAGGCGGGCTCAGAAATGCACCAGAGCCCTGGGCAGCAGCCTCCCTGGAGGCGCCTGTCAAAGCTAACAGGGGCTCCTGCCCTGAAGCCCGTACAACAGGGCAAAATGCAAAATGTGTTCGCGGCAGCCTTGCGCTCGATGCAGTGCCTTACGGGGCCTTCCTTCCGCCACCAGAACCCAGGCTTCTCTTCCATTGTGTGCCCCCCTGCCACCTCCGGGCTCAGAAAAGGGCCCAATTCACAACTGGTAATGGGGAAGGAGGGGTGAGCTGCCTCCAGAAAGACCTTGACTGAGAGGTAGCTGGCCTCCACCAGAGCGTCCCTGGGGCCAGGCGCACAGTGCAGGGACAGTCCTAACTTCCCAGCACAGCTGAGCGGGAGGGCTTGGCTCCTCTACCTGCTGACTCGTTCGTGCCTCCTTCCACTCCCCCACCCCACACAAGTAGCCAGAATGATCATTTTAACAAACCAGAACAGATGAAATTTCTCCTCACTTCAGTCTACCCCAGGATACATTTCATGTCCTTGCTGGGACCCCGCAGGCTAGCCCTGCCTCCTTGCCCCCACTCTCCCCCCTGCTCCCCTCCCCTCTGCCTCCCCGCCTATGTCCAGGACCTGCCTCAAGGTTCCTCCCCCACCAGCCTCTGCCCAGGGGTCTCCAGGCCTCGCTTAGAGGGCTTCCTGGGGAGCCTTTCCTGACTGTGATCCAAGCAGGTGGTGCACCCCTGCCCAGGCCCTCCTGTCCAGCTGCCCCGTCTCGTCCTACTTTCTGAGGGCACCTGCTGGGTGCTCGATGACTGTGTCTCTGCACCCGCGGGGGGGCTGGGGCCACAGGTGCTTCACTCACCCATTCCTCCCACAGCCCAAGTCCGGGTGGCTGAAGGGACAGTTCTGACAGCCCGTGGGGTCTGGGCTCTGGGCTCCCCCCTCCACCCCATGCAACAATATCCACATCACTTAGAGTCAAATTTGTTTTTGTTGTTCAGTCGCTAAGTCATGTCTGACTCTTTGTGACCCCATGGACTGCAGTACATCAGGCTCCCCTGTCCTTCACTGTCTCCTGGAGTTAGCTCAGATTCATGTCCATCTAGTGAGATGCCATTCAACCATCTCATCCTCTGTTGACCCCTTCTCCTTTTGCCTTCAATCTTCCTAGGGTCGAATGCAAATCTCTAATCCAGTCTCCATAACCAAACTCAGCTTTCCCAAAGACTCTCGTTCCCGAGTAACTTGTCTGCCTTGGGCTGTCGTGCTCTCCGAGGACACTGAAATGCTCCATGAAGCCTCCGCACTGGGAGTGAGGGCTTCCGGGGATAAAAGCCTTCTGATTCTGTCCTGTGGCTAAGGGTTGATGGTCAGTTGGCTGCCTTCTTGCGGAAGACAAGGGAATGGCCACTAGGTGTCGCCACACACAACCAGAGCTCCAGTGCTGTCCGCCCCCAATCCCCAACACAAGCCCCCAAGGGCCCTTCTGGTTCAAGCCACCCTAGTGATGGCTTGAACTCTGTGACTTCCTGCTGTCACAGACCACCCTCAGTCCCCCCAGAGCAAGCTCTGTCCCCCCGTTTAGGGGCCAGCTCCATCCAGCTAAGGACACGTCTCTGTTTTGCTTAGCATCCCAGGACCTTGGGATGCTGGCTTCACAAACGTCCAGAGTCCCTTCCTCATTGTCCTTTCCTGACCAGCCAGGCTTCCTCCAGCAGAGGTGTGAGAACTCGGAACCAAAGGACAGTGTGTGTGTGTGTGTGTGTGTGTGTGTGTGTGTGTGTGTGTAAACGTGTGAAAAATCATTTTGTTATTGCTGTTTAGTCACTAAGTCCTGTCCAGCTCTTGAGATCCCATGGACTGTAGCTCACCAGGTTCCTCTGTCCATGGAATTCTCCAGGCAAAAATACTGGAGTGGGTTGTCATTCCCCTCTCCAGGGGACCTTCCCCAACCAAGGAATGAAACCAGAGTCTCCTGTATTGGCAGGCAGATTCCTCAGTGCTGAGCCACCTGGAAAACCATTTTATATTGGGTCTATTTCACAGAATCTTGCTCCTTCCAATAACCCTACCCTTGGTGTTCCGTACTCACTGCCCCCAAATACCTCCTTACACTCACTACCCCCACACTCACTACCCACTACACTCACTACCTTCAAGGATAGTGAGTGCCACACACTCATGCTGTGATTACCAGGGGGCCTTACACACCCAGCCCTGGGCCTGGGGTGTTGGGGCCGGGTCACGCCCCCATAATGCTTTCCTGGCAGAGACTGGTTCTTAAACTGTCTTTCCTTGGGGAAGACTCCTGCCATTCCTGAGAATTCTGGTCTTCCAGGATTCTTTGAGCTCCAGCTAGAGCTGACTCTGCGCTGCTGCCTGACAGAGGGAACACCCAGGGTTGGATCAGGGCAGATGGTTGCATAAGCACACCTTCCCGCCCTCCACACTCCAATCCTGACGGACGAGAACATCAGGACTGATTTACAATCCCGTCCTAAACAGAATCTGCATCCAGGGCGCCAATGTGTGGGAGAAAACTGAAGAGAATAAATCACAATTAACCCAAACGACACGAACCTTTCAGCCGCTGCTATGCTATGAGCTCATTACAGAGTGTTTGGGTTTGGTGCCTATCCAAGTGAACATGCTATTAAGTTTTCATCACAATTTTGACAGACATCAGATTAACTTCGCTAGAGAATTCTTACTTTTCCCTGCAGGGATCAAGAACTGGTCTCCAGTGAAGCGTGTTTAAATGACATAAGCCCAAACTACAGTGAATTTGGACACGTTAACCATTTATTCGGTCCTCAGCTGTGAGACCCGCTTCTCAATTGTGTTCTCCGGGTGATGCCGGAAACATTCCACCGCTTGAGATGGGGGCGCATCTGTCCTGCATCCTAAGAAAATCCTTGCGTGTTAACTGCCCAGAGAGGGAGACCTGCTCCCTCTCTGAAGACAGAATATTCTGGAGGTTTACCAGGGAAAGGCATACATGAGCCAAAAAAAACAGAAAATGGATAGAAACAGGCAGCTTTCAAGTACCCAAACAAAAGGTGAGGCAAGGGGAGAGGTTGTGGCTGAGTGGATGACATGCCACTGATGTCAGGGGTCACGGGGAAAGTGGGCATGGTTCCAGAAAATCACATCTGCTTGGGACACACACAATTCAGAGAAACTGAGGTCTGTACATTCACTGAGACATGCAGACATGTCCACAAGCCCCCAAAACATGCCATACGCACACTGCTGTTGGTTCTGAGCCCTCATCTCTGCTGAAGGAAGACTGGTCGGTGAAAGACAGTGAGGAAGGGGTTCCCAACCACTGGGAAGGATTCACTTCATTGTATAGCAGAAACTAATATGACATTGTAAAGCAGTTACATCTCCCTCCCCAACAAACAAAGTGACAAAAGTGGCTCATGGCCTAGGAGGAGGCGCTGCTTCTCGGAGCCATGGAGGTCATCTGTGAGACACCACACTCCTGCCCAGAGATTAGAGGGACCCACTCTGTGCACGTGAGCCCCAGCTCGGAAGCAGTTGCCCTTAGAGTGGAAGACTCAGGAGGCAGTGCAGCAAAGACCTGGGGAAGGGGATGTGTGGCCGTCAGACCCAATTGATCAATGGCTCTGAAAGCTGGCTTCCCCATGACAAACACAGTCCCCTGCCCTCATTTTTACCGATAAACCTGAAGCTGATGCTGTTTAACACCCACACTTACATAAACTAGAATATACATTTATACCGAGGGTGGTCTAGCACCTGCTTGTATTATAAACAAGTAACTGCAGACTGGGCCAGACAGCAGTAGGGGCCTGTAGATACACAAGCTACCTCTGCCCCATGGATCCTGACACTTGCCTTTTGTTTTGTCCATTAAAAAAATTCTGCTATATTTTACATGCTCATGTTTCAAAATTTATTCTTACAACTGTACAGTATCTAGGTTGCATGAAAATACAGCACCATATAATGGTGTGCTTCATGGAGCTTATATAAAATATTAATTCAGACTACACACATCTTAACAACAT